GGAACACTATGGGAACACTTGGCAATTAATGTTTGTAAATGACCTTGATATCCTTGAGGAAGAGAGATGCTATATAAATGAATAATATGGTAATGAAAATAATAATACATGTACTCACATTCCCAAGCCAGTTGCCTGAATTAGGTCTTGAAGTCTAAGGAAAGCTGTACAAAATGTAACTATCTAAATAAGAAAGTATTTTCACAGCCCTCAAGTCATAATTGAAAATATCTGTGAAATACACAATAAAAGCATAACCCATGACTATGATTTATAATACACTTATGAATGCTTATCATTTATATAATTAACTATTTCACTATTTGTATACAGTTATTGGATCAAAAGCTAAACACTGTAATCCTTTCTTTGTGATGATATTATGTGGAAGCTAATTGGCAGTGTTTCAACATAATTGCTGAATGTTGCTTAATAATAAATTATAGTTCTATTACTAGTTTAAGACTTGTCAATGGCATAATAGATATTTCTGCAAAGATTTTTTAGAAAGAATTCTTTAAACAGGAAAAAAAAAGCCTAGAGCACCTTCAAACCATAAAAGAAATTACTTCCTCCCCACCTGAGTACCTTTCATTTCCTTTCAGTATTAAAGTTCAATAATCCTATACCTCTGACAATGTCCCTTCCTTTCTGGCACTGCACAAGAGGTAGGGAGGAGGAAGAATATACTTGTTTACTTTATGTATGACACTAAATTCTGCCATTTTGTATTATTATCAGTTGATTGGAAAGTTCTGAAAATGGCATCAAACTTCACAGAACAGGTAAAAATCAATCATTCCCATAGTTATACAAAGTAAGTTAGGGCATTAGGGCTTTACTAAATAAGACTTTTAGGACCTAGAAAATAGAAGAAAGAGCCATTCTGTTAGTTATGAAGTACGATTACTTTCTAATTTCATAAGTCTATTCATTTCCTACTTAGCCAATTTTATTATAAGAAAATATTTTGTCTATTTTTGTTGTTGTTTGTTATCTGTCTCCCCCAACCCCCAATAAGAATATAAGCTGTTTGGAACAATATTTTGTCTGTCTGCCTTATGTATTATTCTCAGCACTCTGACTTTACCTTCCACATAATAAATGCAAGATATCTCACTTCTGGAGAGCTTCTTGTTAAATATTTAACTGTATACCACTTGTTGGAATAGAAAAGAAAATAGAGGGTTACTTGATAAGTTGTGGAAAATCATAATACAGAATAATATAATGACTATTTTCTTTTATACTGATACCAGAACAGGAAGAGGAAGCAGACCTTAAATATTGGCAAATTTAAAAACATAAATAAAGCACAATGAAATATCCTTATGGCCTTTAAAGTATTTTCACATAGATGATATACTTTACTTCAAGTCCTGGCGGTATGTGTCTCAGGTCAATTAAGGAACAGAGTGGAAAGAAAAGTTTGAAAAAGTGAGAATGTATGTAGTTGGGATAAGAAAGCTGAGACTCCACTTCCACTTATTAATGATAGTTTATAGACTAAGAGATTTATGTTGAGCTTGAGGATTGGAAGAGCACATCCTTAAAGAATTCTCTAAGCAGTTGAAAATGTGCCTGGATTTGGGTAGGACTGAAGGTTCGAAGATAAGGTTTTAGAAACATCTGTATAATTTATAGTCAAGGTTTAGGAGTGAATGTGACCACAAATTCAGAGAGAAAGAATGCTTAGTTCAGAGAGTTGGGAGAAATTCCATCATTTAGAAGATGAGGGAATATTAGAAATTTTCAAAAAAGTTAACCAATGAAATATAATTAAAAGAGGAAGGAATCTTGGATAGTTCAGAGCCACACAAAAAGAAAACAATAGAATGGTCCAGAGAGGAATGTTAACTGTCAAATCTTGCAGGAAGATCAAAGGTAGATGGTAGAGGAACAACAGCTGATTTGGAAATTCAGTCTTAAGAGAGCAATTTCCTTTGAATGGTAGGAATGGAAGCTAAATTATAGGATTTACTAGTGGATGGATACTTTAGGGCACTGAATAAGATTAATTTTTTTTAAAAAAGCTGGATATTTAAAGGAGAGAAATAGGAGAGGTTCATGAAGGAGTAAATGAAGAGTTTATTTTTACATATGTTTAATTGTTTTAGAATAGAAGGACAAGTATATTTATGGGTAGAAGGAATCCAATGGAGAAGGAAAGTAGTAAAAACTAAGACATATAATTTAGTCAAGGAAATAAAAAGACAAGGGAAAAGGATAAAATTAAACAGAGAGATTTAGATGTCAGGGGAAGGAGTTTGATATATTCAGTGTTATGTTCTTGGTCTCAGCCAAACAGGAATGTAGGCCATATGCTGAGATAAAATAGGGTCATTGCCATAAAGTGAATGTACTACAAATTTTGGAACCTGATAAACTCAAAGTCATTTCTAGGCTCTGCCACTTATTTTATAACTTTTGAAATGTTACTTCCCATCACTGAATCTACTGCCTTGATAAATGGGAATAATAACTCCAATCTTGAAGAGTTATCTTAAATTTGGAGGTAATAGTAACCAACATTTATTGAGCACTTTCTACCTACCAGGTTCTGGTTGAAGAACTTTACGTAATTGAACTCATTTAGTTGTTAAATCAACATTTTGAGGTAGGCGCTATCATTATTCCAATTTTGCACAAGGAAATTGAGGTATCCAGAGATGGAATAACTTTCACAAGGTCAAACAGCTTGTAAGAAGTAGAGCTAGGATTTGAACCCAGGCAGATACATTATCTCTGTAATATATCTAGAAGAGCTTAGAATGGTTCTTGACATATAGAAGATTCAATAACTAGGACTTTTAATTAATGCTAACTTTATTAAATTAAGGACTTATAAAATGTGTTTCTAATTTTATACTAAGTTAAACCCAATAGAAAATCATCCAGTGAGGAATTAAACATTTTCTGCACACCATAGGTTGATCCTGAGGCCATACCTGAGGTTAGCTATATATGGCTTTAAATAGGCATAGATTGGGGCCCAGATATGTCTCATAGTACCCTAGATGACTAACTTTATCTTCTCTTTAAATATGTTTAAATTCTATAGTGGTTTTTCTCAGTTAATTAAGATATTCTTCCCTAACTTCTTTTTCCTGAGAATTTACAGAGTATCACGATATTGTTTGAGGAACATTGAGGGACTGGTCTTTACTAATTATCAAGTTAAACTGTTATGAACTGAGAAGTAACTAACTCTGTTAGCTTCTATATTCACCTCATTTAAATACAGAAGTTCTGATCCCTAGGAATAAGGATGCATTAGAAGTAGTATAGCCCTTATAGGGAATGAAACCTGAAACCAAATCACCTAACCAGAAGTTAGATTATGGTCATCACAGATTGCTAGGGTTCCCAAGAACCTGGCAAAGCAAATAAAAATTCTCTTTGAAGAGATATACCATCATTCTAGGCCTCAGACTATTTCTAAAAGTAATTTTTCATATCAATGTTTGGCTTGCAATAAAAAATAACTGGACAAACCATGCTGTGAGATAACAAATGAGAACTAGACATAACCACAGAAAATAGAAACAAACTTTTAGGGGATTGAGATATTGTAATTGCAGTTATGAGATAGTTTAAAATAAGTATGCTTTTATGTTCAAGGAGAGAAAGAACAAGATAAGGAACTTCAGTAGATAGCTGGAAAATATTTTAAAAAGGGAGATAGCAGAACTGAAAAAGAAAACAAAGATATTTTAGAACTAAAAAATACATTAAAGGTTAAGATCTTAATGGATATATTTAAAAGTAGGTTAAGGACAACCAAAGATGTAATTAGTGAAATATAGGTAAGAAAAACACATTCAGAGTGAAAAACAGACAAAAATGAAAAATACAGAAGAAAAGTTTGGAGACAAAAAGGATATAGTGACAAATTTCAATTTAATGTAATTAAGGTTCTATAAAGAAATAAATGAAAGAATGAAACAGAAGAGATATTTAAATAGATTATGGCTATTTTTTTCAAAATGATAAAATACATTAAACTGGAGATTCAAGACTTATGAACCCAAACAAAATTTAAAAAAAAAATCCATGTTTAAGACCCTCAAAGCTAAACTGTAGAAAATTAAAAACAAAGAAAATATAAGTTCAGTGAGAGACTAGAGAGATTGCACTAAAATAAAGAAAAATTAGACTTTCTGCCTTATTACTAGAAATAAGTAATAGAAACAAAAAAATAGAATATTATTTTTTAAATTCTGAAAGAAAAATCCAACGTAAGTTTTATACTCAGAAAAAGTTCTTAAACTTACATATGATAATACTCATAACCTTCAAATGGCTAGTACGGAGGTTCATAGTTTAGGAATATGGAAAAGTAAAAAAATAATAGATTGTATATATTGCATATCAGGGCTTGTAGAGAATGTTAGAGATATTAAAAGTCATATACTCTGGAAAATAAAATAACAGTGAGTTATTTCTTCAAATCCTCATCAATTTATTCAACAAATATTGATTGGGTACCCACTATGTGTCTGGTATTGAAAACAGTTAAAACCTATATACTTTAATGGAGCTTATATTCTTGTGCTGAGAAATAACAAGAGTAGCAAAACCAAAACAAATATATATAAATAAATATATATAATATATAAAATAAATATAAAATATACTATCAGACCTAAGAATGCGATACGAATGGTAGTGGGTATCAGAAGAGGCCTCTCTGTTGAGGTGACATTTAAGCAGAGATCTAAAGGAAGAGAGGAAGGAAGCAGTAGAGATACCTATGGACAGACCTTTCCATGTAGGAAAGAAGGTAAGGGTGTATTTGAGGAGCACAATGCAGGACAGTGCCTCCAAAACAGTGGAAGGGAAGAGAATGCTAGATCTGCCAGATCATAAAGTTGACTGTGGTCTTTGGATTATTTTGTGATTGGGGGTGCAGGGGAGGGCTAGGGTTATGGGAAAATTTTGTGCAGGAGAGTGCCATGATAGGAGTTAAATTTTAAAAGATTCCCTTTGGCTTCTGTTAGGAGAGCAAACCACAGGAAGTACTGAAGAAAACTGGGGAGTATTGAAGAAGACGTTCAGAAGTCTGTGTGTGAGACGCTGGTGGTCATCACTGGAGAGCTACTGGTGTACGTGGTGAAATGATACGGTAGGTATTTGCAGTATCTGCAAAGGGTTAATGTATAGCGTATTTTGATTAAATGTTTGCATGTCTTCTGAAGGATACATTTAGAAGTTATAAATTGAATTAAAGTGAGAAAGCTTAGGGGCAACTTTAATAAAATCTTATTAAAGTGAACTATAGGAGTTCTAAAAATGTCAATTTAGTAGCTTCAGATTATTTATTTTGTTTGGGATAGTACAATAGATCACCTCTTAAGATATGAAATAGCAATTTTTAAATTCAAAATATATTTTAATGGTGTATTTCCAATATAGCATTTCCTCTGAATTATGATCTACTCCAAATGTCAATATGAGGAGTTTCACTGCATTGTGCAAAGATTTTTATTTTAAAAAAGGTGTTCTGAAGATGTTGGGTTTCTGATTCTATGAACTCCAGAAATACTGGTCTGGTTCTAGAATAAATTCATATTATTAAGTGGATGGTGATCTCTCTTCTTAGTTAGAAAATTATCCCCAGAAGATGTTTTAATAGAACTACTCTTTTTAGAGTAATAAAATCACCAGGTGTCTTTCTTCGTGTGATCTGGTGTTCTTTCTCCACCCGCATCATTGCTCCACATACTCTTGGAGTTGTGTTCCAGTTTAAAATGAACACTGGATGAGTCTATACCAGTGTTCCAGGTCGGGCAGAAGAATCACCATCCAGGCTGTAATTAAATTTCAGTGAATTGCTGCATTGAGAGATTATTTAAGCAAACATGGAAATAGCATTTAAGTCTTTTCCTTCAAATGACAAAATTACATAATAACTATTAAAATTCATGATCCTAGGATTAACCTCTAACTTTGAGATTAGCTTGCTCTTTGTGTCTCAACTCAGTGTCTTATATAAATTTCAAATCCAGAAGAGTTTAAAAAATGATTTTAAATAGCATTCGCTTGAGTACATTATTAAATCTTATTCTAATCCTGTAACAGGATTAATTACCCGATGGAGAATTCAGTCCTTAGAATTCAAAAATAAATTATTGGGAAGTTTTTTTTTATAAAGAGATTAATAGATGGGGATCTATGAATCTCAGGTATACCTAACTTTGAGTACAGGCTGGACTTTTCTTTTTAATTTTAAATTGAACAACATTGATAACATGTCCTGCCTTCAGGGGGAAGCTTCAGAGAGTGTTATAAAGATACACCAAATAGGCTTGTTTGGCTTGACGTTTTTTGGAGATATTATATTTTGTTTTTGCTGATTTATAAAAGCAATACCCATTAGTTGAAAAATATTTAAAGATTATAGAATATATGAAGTAGAAAACCAAAGTCTCCTCTTATACTTAGTCCTTTCCCCTGACCTACCACGTCTCTATTCTCTGAGATAGATAATCATTGTTAATACTTTAATATGTATTTTTTCATGTTACACTATATGATATATAGCTGGGCATATGAGATATCTAATGTGTCTACTGGACCAGGTTGTTTTTCACTTAACAATGTATCATGAACTTTTTCCATGTCAAGGCATGACTTATGTCATTTGTTTGAAGAGCTGCATAATATTCTATTGAATCAGAATATTCAGGTGTTTGTGTGTGTGTGTTTGTCTATTACATGAGAAACTGAGATTTAAGGAAATTAAGACTGCTTACGGTCTGAGTAGTCAGTGTCCTAATTCCAAAGCCCATATTTTAAAAATTATGCTACAAATCCCCCCAAATTTTAACTGTTAATAGTTAATTTCTGAATTAAAAAAGAGAAAAGCTCCATTTAATATAGACATGTTGTTTTCCATATTTCTAGTTCCTTCATTTGGATCAATTTTTAGAAGTAGAGTTGTTGAGGTGAAAGTAGTTTTAATTCTGATACGTATTAGGAGAGAAGGACACTCTTATCAATGATATATTTGATAGTACCTATTTCCCCAAACCCTTGCTGGTTCTAAGAATTATCAATCTTGTTAATTTTGACAAATTGATAGATGCTAATTAAAAGAATTCAAGCCTCTTCAAAAGTTTAATGCTTTACTTGTGTATCCTTCTTTGATGAAAAAAAAAAACACATGGATTTGAGGGTGCTTGTATTCGTTCTTATTAAATTATAAACATCTCAGTAAAAGCCATAATGCTTTGTAATATATTTTAAAGATTGTTGTTTCTCCTTAACTTTTTGTGACTTTTTCATGTACAAATAATTAAGTACAATGGAGACATACCTGTGACTTTTTAAATAGTTTTCTGACCATGGCATTCTGCTTCAGGAGACTTTAGCCCAAAATTACTGAAGTATTCTCTTTCTTATTCATCTTGTCATGATTTTTTATGTTAAATTTTAACCCATAATTAATCAGTGATTAATTTGTGTGTGTGTGGTGGGCATTCCCCTACACCAAATGGAGGGTCAGTTGTCCCAAAATTTAATGAAGAATCTATCTACTATTTATAAGTGTAACTTTCATTATTTCTAGATTCTCACTTATGTAACATCAATTTTATTTTTGTATTCTTTATTCTATTTCAAAATCCTTTCTTAAACTGCACTAAACTTCAAAAAATTACTCAGCAATTACATGGATTTAGCCCTGACTCTATATAATTTTATTACTAAGCCTTAAATGTAAATCCATAGTTCATAGTTTCTACAAAATATTTGTCCTTCTCGCTTTGATTCACTTTTATTATTCACTTCTTGTTTGGTTAAATTTAATTCTTAAGCAGTTCTTTTCAGAAGTCTGTTTTGGTGTCATACCTTCTGAGTTCTTAAGTGGCTAGCAGAGTTTTTCTCTAAATTGTGGTTCCCTGAATACTACTGCTCAGTGAGATGTTAACAGATGTTTCAAAGGGAAAGGGAGTATTATTGTCAAATAAATTCAGGAAAGCAGGTTTAAAAATTAGCTTGTTGATGTGTTTTTGTAAAAATTCGATTTTATCCATGAATTTCTCAGAGCTCTTAATAAAGTGTGATTTATGCTTCTTTAAGAAATAAATATAATATATATTTCTAAAATGCAATTATCCATAGATACTATTTAATAACAAAAACATATCAAGATCTTATAGAACAATAATTGTAATCGTTTGGAAAATAGCAGAGTTCAGAATTCTAGATCTCTGTTCATGAAGGCTCATGGAAGCTTTCCAAATCAAAATGTGAGGAAAACACCCTGCTTACTCCTACCAGTCTGTTAGTTAATTGGGCTCTAATCTGTGTATTGCAGCTATCATCTCCTCTCTGTATCATAGCCATTCATTCATTCATTTATTAATCAACTTTTAATTGGTGCCCACTGTGTTCCAGGACTTCTTCTAGCCCTCAGGATACAGTAGTGAGTGAACAAATCAGAAAAAAAAAAAAATGTGGAGGTTAATGGGATGAGGAGGGAAGATGGAAAATAAATGAGTAAAATACAAAGTTTATCATATTATGGAATGAGGGATACAATATAAAACAAAAAGGTACATAGTGATGTGTGTGTGCATGTGCATATGTAGAGGGGTGAGATTTGGTAAGGTTCTATTTTAAATAAGTGGTCAAAGATGTTTTGCTGAGAAAGGTCCTGTTTTAATAAGCACCTAAAGTAGGTGAGAGAGCAAGCCATGCAGGTATCTGGGATGAACACTGGCATCCATGCAGGTATCTGGGATGAACACTGGCATGAAGGACTCTAGTCAGAAGGAACACTGAGTTAATTTTTCCCTTCATGGGTTTGTAAAAGCAGACTGGCAATTCAAACTCACCTTAATGATAAAATATTTAATTATTTCAGTTGGGGGGATGTTTGTTATAACAAGAAGCATGTACATGTCAGCTGTAGGAAGGTTCTAGCTACATTGTAAGTGACTCTGCCCTAACTGAACAATCCTTCCATCAGAGATGCAGCGGTTTTTCTAGGTGCAGTTTCTGCCCTTAGAGTAACAATGAGGAGATGATCTGAGTCTGTCCGGGAGCTCTGCTGAAGTGACCCACGTTCAGAGGTAGGCCCTGACAGTAACCCCTGAATTTTTCATGTGACTCATTTTTGTATTTTCTAAGAAACAGAAGCTGCCACTCAAAACGTTAATGTTAACTGCACTATCCAATATGGTTACTGAGGCAAATTCTGCAATGATTATTTCAAACTCTGGCCAATGAGGAAGGGTTGCTTGGTGTTGGCAGGGAATTTAGAACTGTTTACTCCCTTCAAAAGCATGATTAGAAACATAAGCACCATAGAAGCCAGAGATTGAGATTGCATGTATCATTCAGGAACAGAAAGTTTAGGGGAACAAAATTTTCTACTCTTCATCACCTTCATGTATTTTCATTTGGCTCATAACTTCTTATCTCAGTTTTAGCACTTGAGTTAGTTCTGTACAGGGGATGACAGAAGTGCCCTTTGCATATGAAATTTAAAGTGCAATGTATGTGTGTGTGTATGTGTACTGTGAAAGACAGAGAGACATTTGAATAAGACTTCTAGAATAAAGAGCTAAATTCCTCTTTCTTCCTTATTTTGAAAAAGTACTAATGAATTTGAGATTTTAATGTTGAAGGTAATTCTAATGTTATGCTATTGGGTTGGCCAAAAAGCTCGTTCGTTATTTTTTTCTGTAAGATGGCTCTAGTAGCCCTTATTTGTATTTAACTTCATCCAAAACAATTTTGTTAGATTGTATTGTGACAGCTGTCATATCAGCATGCATTAAAAAAAAACTTATCAAAACTGATGAATTTTTGTGTAGCCATTTTAATATTGAAGATGGAAAAAAAGCAACATTTTCGGCATATTATGTTTTATTTTTCAAGAAAGGTAAAAACACAACTGAAATGCACAAAAAGATTTGTGCAGTATATGGAGAAGGTGCTGTGACTGATCGAACATGTCAGAAGTGGTTTGTGAAGTTTCGTGCTGGAGATTTCTCTCTGGACGATGCTCCATGGTCAGGTAAACCAGTTGAAGTTGATAGTGATCAAATCGAGACATTAATTGAGAACAATCAATGTTATACCATGCAGGAGATAGCCGACATACTCAAAATATCC